ACAGCAAAGTAAACAGGCAACAGAAACTTGCCCCAACAGTAGCCAAAACTTAGAGAAAACCACATACTTTTGTCCTCATATCTTTCCTATTTAACATGCACCACTAAGACTCTGGATTTACACTAGGGAAAAACTAATTACAGTGATGTTAGATTAATGTTAGCCCTAAGTTAAACTGCAAAGGCCAGGATCTGAGCTGTGCCTGGACCCTAAGGGGGGTTGCAGCCAATCAATTATAGCTCTCTGATCTGAGGACAGGTAACGAGCTGGCCCCAGCACTGATTAGAGCAATATTAGAGAAGAGATTGCAGCATCTTGGGGGCTGCTCTGTCAGAATCAGTTGCCAGTGGCCACTGGGGCCTGTCAGGGCATGGCTTGTGTTGCACTAAACCCCTCTGTGCCCTTGCTGTGGTCTTGCAGGAGGCTGCAGGAACCAGTTGCACCAACTTTCTGACAGGAGAAAATACCCAGGCTGAAAACAAGTGAGTTCTTTCAAAGTGGGCAGCACATGGAAGTGGGGAGGCCATGGGCTGACTAAATCCTCCTCCTCCCATTGGGCAGGAAGAGATAACACAGCCAGGGACATCCGCCAGCAGTAACCAGCTTTTCTGCTCCCCCACCAGCAAATGGAGCCTTCCTGGCATGATGATTTTCCACTTCCTCCCAACCTCTCAACCTCACCAGCCCATCTTTGAGAGTCAGATTTTACAGCAATTTTGGGGGGGGGGTTGGACTTCCCTATTCCCTATTCTCCTGCACACTCCTCTTTGCTGTTGCCAAATGTTATCTCCCCTCCCGGCATGTTGGAGCTCCCCAGAGCAAAGGGAGTGGAGTGTGAGGAAACCAAGGGATTTGTCTGACTCAGTTTCATTTGGTCTCTCAATCAGTTGAGAAACAAACGTGATGTCCCTCTCCACTCCCTTTGGACTGGGCCTGTGCATTTAGGTCAGGTATCTGGAACTGGATTTTCCAATAGTTGGGAAAGAGCTTAATCCTTAAGAGGAGATTTGCAGGAAGGTGTGTAATAAAAGGGATAGGTTCCCAAAGCCCTTATGGGAGCCAGAGAGGGGTGATTCACTCAGCTCTGCTAGTAGCCTTCTACAGACACCTTTTGGAGAAGAGCTCCTGGAGAAGGGTAGTACAAGCCAGCTATGGATGCTTTTATGATGTTTCCATTGACTTCAGCTGATTTCTTGACAAAGCAGGGCTTACTGCTGCTTGCTTTCTTTATTGTGGACAGTGATAGCCTTAATCTCTTGACAAGCAAGTTAAGTTCTGCACAGCACTGCTGCTTTGCTGATGGGGTAGCTGGGTCTGAGTGGTGGGAGGGGAGGAGAGCAGGAGCGTGACTCAGCTGCTCTGTAGCACATGGTTTGATGATGCTGCAGAGGCTCTGCATGCTCTGAGCACCCCAAAGGACTTCTCACTGCTCTTAGAAGCAGATTCCCTGTGGCAGTGGACAAGTCTGGGGACAAAACTGCTAGCTACCCTCTTGATAAATCCAACATGCCAAAAGTGGCTCGGTTTCTGAGGGCAGAGGGGAAAGAGAAGACAAACAAAGAAAATGTTGGGATCTCACTGTTTCCCTCCCACACAGAGCTGCCCTAAGCACATGCTGCTGTGCATTGTGCAGCACTGTTCAGCTTGAGGCTGAGTTATCCAGTCATGTCAGGGCTGCCACTGCTCTGCTTTAAGCATCAGGTTAAACCACAGAGCCCAGAGGCTGGTGGCAAGCTAGACTGGGGCTGCTTTCCGTCCAGCTCCTGAGAGTACACCACCCTCTTGGATACAGGTCCAAGATTTCACATCTCTCAGCTGTGATGTTTTCTTGACCTCTGGCTTTCGACTAGATGCTGCTGCCCAGACCACTCAGCAGCTGAGTAGCTCATGCCCTGACACCCTATAAACCTTCTGGTACCCACTGAGTGCTCAGGACGCACAGTACCTGCCATACAGAGCCCATCTCCCTCATCCTGCACCTTCAGGACATGGGCAAGCTCAGGCAAGACATCCCTTTCTATGTCTGAGACACTTGCAACCTGTTTCACCATTTCCAGGCCCCCTGCCAGCAGCCCCCATCCTCCCCCCACACTCTGCCCCATCTGCCACTTTTGGCACTGTCCAAATGCAGTGCAGCCCTTGATGGTCTTTCCAGACAGCTTAAGAAATTTGAATGGAAGTTCAGTCTCAGGCTAACTCAGAGTACTGGGTGTATTTCCTTTGCCCACCTCCTCCAAAGGAGTGTATCAGTATCTGCACCTGTATGAGAGGAGATATTGTGCTCCCAAATCAGAGCCCCACTTTGCCCACCCTGAGTTGTGCACAGAGATATTGTGGTAGGTGAGGCAGAGGAAGAAGGCTGAGAAGGGAAACAAAACCTCTTTGAGTGTGTAAGACCCTTGTTCAAGTCAAACTCAAAAGTCCAATTTGTTGCATAGATGTAACACCCTTCTCTTTTCTCTTTCCCAGCATAGATACCCTTCACTCAGAACCGCCTATATCAATGAATCTGGATCCAGCTGGGTGCCACAGTAGATCACATGAGGTGAATTTTAAACAGCTTTAAATGCAGTCACCGAATCAGCTTTAAACTCATTTTAATGAGGTCAGTGTGTCTTTGTGAGTGGTTGATGCTTTTCGGTCCCAGCTGTGATGTGATTCTGTGCTTCAGCTCTGACCTTGCTCTAGCTGTGCTTGTTTGCCCCTTTTAAAAGACTCCTTCACATGTAGGGCTGTGTAGTGCAGCATGGTGAGGTGGCAGAGGAGACAGTTCAGTCCTATCCTTCATGCTCAGGGTGTTGTTCATGATCAGTGTCAAGATAACAATCTGCTAGTGTTTTTCCAAAGGAATGAAGCTATAATTTTCCTCTGCATGACTTTAACTATGAAGAGGAGTTTGTTTTGCCCCTTATTACAATAGAGGATTGCAGGGTTGAGCAAGATGATGAAAGCGTTGAGGTTAAGTAAGGTCAGGAAAAGAAAGTCCGGGTGACCTTAAGTGTCCTTAACAGGTGGATTTTAAGCACCTTTTTCCTTCCCTGGAAGACACAAGTAATTCATTCCAATTTTCTCATGGCTTAAAACTTCCATTACTATGGTTCTATATTTTCTTCTGTTCTGTGCCTCAGTATGTGTATTACTTTTGCCTGCCTGTTGCTCTTTCCCACAAATGTACAATGGCATGGAAAGATCTTCAGCTGCAGAATAGGACTGAGAGATGTAGTAAAAGTAACAGCTGTATCTCTACCTCTGTTCATGGTGGTACTGTCCTCTGACTGCTCAGTTCCCTGGGGTGCCTGTGTGAGAAGTCCTATTCCAGGGTATGTCTTGGGAAGAAGGCAAACTAGTCTTTGGGCAGTTCTTCCCACGCAGGATTTGTGGCATGGCCTAAATTTTTTTTTCCATAACTTTTCTTCTAGAATTTTATAAAGGGAAAACATTGTTTGTCATGAAATTAGATATTTCCTGTTGACCCTTACCTCCCGCAGAGGATTTGGCTGATTGTATTAGTTGCTCAAACTCTGCAGGAAGGAAACTTTGGCTATGTAGGATGAACAAGCAAACTCATGCTCTTTCAAGCATTATTATATTCACTGACATTCAAAAGAGTGAGAATGTAGAAGCCTATTCAACCTAAGGCTCACACCAAGACCTTAAACCACCTTGTCCAGGAGCTGCTTTATGCTGATGACGCCGCCCTTGTTGCCCACACAGAAGCAGCTCTGCAGCGTTTAACATCCTGCTTTGCAGACGCTGCTGAGCTCTTTGGGCTGGAAGTCAGCTTAAAGAAGACAGAAGTTCTCTGTCAACCTGCACCTCAGGAAGTCTTCCATCATCCCCATATCACCATTGGCCACTCAGAGCTCAGATCAGTCCAGCAGTTTAATTACCTGGGCAGCCTCATCTCCTCGGATGGTGAGATTGACAGACAGACAACAGGTTAGCAAAGGCATAGGGTGCTTTTGGAAAACTCCACAAAAGAGTTTGGTGTAACAAACACTTGAAGAAAAGTACCAAGATCAGTGTTTACAAAGCCATAGTGCTGTCTACTCTCTTATATGGATCTGAATCATGGGTCATCTACCGCCACCACCTGCGACTCCCAGAACGCTCCATCAACGCTGCCTCCGAACAATCCTAAACATCCACTGGTCAGATTATGTGACCAACAGAACAGACTGTGTGTCTGTTCTAGAGCAAGCAGCAGTCACAGGTATTGAGGCCATGTTGCTGAGAACACAGCTGTGCTGGGCAGGGCACGTCTCCAGGATGAAGGACCAACCACCCCCTCCCTAAGATCCTGCTTTATGGGGAACTTGCCACCGGCTGCCACGAGAGAGGAGCCCCAAAGAGGAGATACAAGAACTCCCTGAAACAACATCTCAGCCTTGGCCAGATTGATCACCATAACTGGTCTACTCTGGCCTCCAATGGGGAGGTCTGGAGACACCCCATCTATAACGCTGCTGATGCCTTTGAGAACGCAGCAGGATCACCCTGGAGGAGAAAACACAACACAGAAAAATCGTGTCTTGCAGAATTTCCCACCTAAGGACTCTTTCTGTTGTGCCTTTTGCAACCGGACGTGTCTATCTCATATTGGCCTTTTTAGCCACCAGTGTGCTTGTGACAAACGTGGGTAGAGCCCTCCTCAAATCTTCGTTTGTGAAGTCTAACCATGATTGAAAATGCGGAGAATAAAATTCCGAACACAGTATTTTCCATCTCTGGATTTAGATCTAATGTCATTCATAATGAAGCAGTTCCAATGAAGTCAGTAGGTTTTACCCTAAAGGAAAAAACACATGGAGGACAGGATTTGCACAGAATTCAGTCCTCTGTAGTGTTTGCTTTAGGGACCACCGTGGTTCTCTCTCCTCGTCACAGCTGGGAGCAATGCACATCACCCTTGAAATCCCTACTCTCCTAAAACAAATGTTTTTCTACCTCTTGAAGGCAAGGGTTTCCATAGTTCTAGGTGTTCCCCCTCCACTGCAGTTTCTGTAGGATTTCCTCTGTGAAAACTTTATAATTTCTAAGTTCACTATTTCTCTCGGTCACTCACTCTGTGTTTAAAAACAGTTTCACTTAGGCATTGCTCAATCAGTGCTATTCTTACATTCTTTTATTTTTGGAGCTGGAACTTTGGACCTGTAAGATGGCTCTGAGTAGTGGCCCTCGCTAAGAAGCAGTGAGCTCCAAGGCCCTTGGAAATGGAGAGAGATTGGGGTGACTCCTCTTCTGTTTGCTCTCCTTGCCAGACCTTTCAATGAGCAAGCTGTCCTATGCCCAAAAAGCAGGCTTTGGTCAGGTGTTCAGGGCTGAGCACCAGCACCATAGCCAGACCAGATATCACCTGAAGACATTTTCTTGGATTTTTCAGGGTGCAGGTATGTTTTGTTATTAGCTTCCATTTTTCCTAGGCTTGGCAAAGTGGCAGACAGTAACTGCATGTAAACACGATGGTGGGAAGCCTCAGACTGGCTGAGCAGAGGACACCCAGTGTCTGTGCCTGCTGGGGGGGGATGTGTGCAGGGGAGGGCTGGAATGCAGAAGTGCTGTTGCGTGTGAGCGCGACGTGTGTCCAGCACGCAGGGCGGGCATGAATGGAGAGCATGCACTCCTGTGCATGTCTGCTGGGGCTCCCAGGCCCAGGGGTTAAATTTTAAAATGGCTAATGATGTTTTCTCTTTTATTTTGGTATGAATAAGGAAGTGGGGTGCGCAGCCATCTTTACAGTCAGCCATTTTCAGTTCCCCTTTTTTTCTTGTCCGCCCCTGGACACGAGAAATCCTGTGAGTGCATGCAGCTCAGAGGCAATCCATGGTCACTGCAGAAATCATATGAGTCATTTAGTTGACCAGATTTTACTGGAAGACACTGTTCTGATTTCAGTAACAGAAGTATGCAAATAATGTAAATAATACAGATTTTAAATGTTAGCTTTTTAGTTTAACAGCAGGACCCATTTTTTTGTTATTACTTTCATATAATACTTCCAAGGAACTCTTTGCATTTCCTTAACTTTTACATTTTACTGCAAAATTTTTTTGCTATAGCTCTGGTATTACATTTGAAATCAGCGTCTTAGACAATGGTAGGATTACATCAATTACAGCAGAGAAAAAAATCATGACTCTAGATGTGGTGGTGAAGGGTACAGCAGGAAATAGTGCTGAAAGATAAGCTACACTACAGCTGGTGCAGCAAGAAAACTGCTCAATTACAGAATGATTGGAAATAATGATTAGTAAAGACATCTCCAGCGATTGAAGCCTCTTCACCGCTTGTGTGGTTTAGAGCTGTAGTAATAGACCCCCCACTGGGGAATGCCTTTGCACAGGGCAGGTTGTGCCCCGTTTTAGTGAGATCCACATAACAGGTGTTTATCCTACACTGCTGATATTGAAGAGCAACCTGCTTTTAGGATACAGGCCAACGACCCTTCGTTTAAAGTCAAAGGTCCCAGGCAGGAGAAGGGAATGGGAGGTGATGAAGAATGACTGATGTTTGACTTGAGTTCCAGTGAATTCAGCTGCATTAGCATAATGCTTGCTTTGAGGGAAAGTGTGTACCATCTTTGTACTGTGTTGGACTTTCCAGCATCATCCACTTGCACAGGATGAGGTTATTGTCTTGCTCACCTCCTAATAGCATTACTGTATTGTTAAAAGCACAGCTCCTTTGGGTCATTTACTAGGGGGACAGACTTTTTTAATCTCAAAATCAGGGATCCAAAACGAATAAATAAACCATCTGGCCTTTCTTCAGGAGACTGCATGAATAATCAATGACGTTAATCATGCTGAAGAATTAGATTGCTTTGCTCCAGTGGTATAAGGATTCCTTATTATCATGGCAAAGTGGGTTTATAATGTCTTTATCAGCACTCAGAATTATGTGAACCGTTCTTCCCGTGCACGGGGGCTGTCTCAGTGTTGGGACTACTGAACATCCCGCTGACTTTTGCTTGTTAAAGTGTGTTCAGGGCAGTGTTGTGAGTAAGTCTGGGCTCACTTCGCTAGAGCTGAGCTAAATTAAGTCCTGGCCATTTTTCTCTCTGTATGTGTTGTAATAATCTCTTCCTCCTCCCCCCTGTCATCTCTCCTCACAGACTCCGCTGTGACCGCTGGCCTGAGCTGCTCCAGAGCTCAGTGACTGGCTGGGTGCAGCAGCAGGCTGAGGAAACATGGCAAAGCTGGGAAGAGAGAAACCAGGTTTATTTGATGAGTTTCTAACTTTAAGGTAGTTTAGGTCAAATATAATTAAGAAAACCCAAGTTATTGGCAGGACAAATCATGCAGGAGATACTTTTGTAGCCAAAACAATGTGCCGGGTTCTGGTCATTTTTTTTGGTAACAAAAGTGGGCCTGTCAGCTTCTGACTAAACTGGCAATAATGAGCAAATAACCCAAGGACTGAGCACGGCTATGTGGTGTCTTTCACAAGGACAGAAAGCACAGCTTTTCTTAAAAATATTTTATTTGGATTTTTGACATTTTACATGGATATTCGTCATCAGTCTGGATTCAAAATTTTCTCTTAAGGGATCCAAATGAATGAGACACCTCAAAAAGGCACTTGTTACCTTTCACAGGTTCTCAGTATTCTCAAAGGAGTAGCCACTGATTAGCAGGACCTACACAAATGAAGTATAGACCAGTGTTTAAAGCTGCACTGGTTATATTTCCATTGATTATGCAACCCTTTCAAATATATAGAAGACCTACATTCATTAACAATTGCTGGCTGAAGTCAAACAACCCCAGCAAACCAAACTTTTGGACGCCAGAAGTCAAACCACAGTCAAACTTGTGAACAGTGAGTACAATACATAGAGAGGGATTTTGAAACGCTGCTTCAGTCAACTTTTCACAGCAGTGAAAATGATGTAACCATTTAAGGAGTTTGAGGTACAGTATGTCAGTTGCTGAAATGCTTAAAAATAAACCACAACACACTCGTTTTCACGGGGTGGGAAATCGAAGTGCAGAAAAGTGAAATGACTTGGCTGGGGAAGCAGAGTAGACCATATCCCACTTGTCCAGGGCCCAGTGCTGGTGTTAATCAGCGAGGCCTGCTGCGTTCTGTGCAGCATTATGTCTTGTATAATAATTGCAGTCTGTTGTCATTTCTCTGCTTTTTCTCAGCTGGGAGGGCTGTAAGAACTTGCTGTTTTGCTCGTTAGGTGACAGTTTTCCTTACTTCTCACTGGGAGAGACGAGTTACCAGAAGTGCCCTACGGAGAGAGCAGTGCTTGTTGCTGGGAAGTTACACGTTCAAGTGTCCAAGCCCAAAACCACAATGTACTATTTGCTTTAGACAGTCATGCGATAACACATTTTTTTCTGTTGTAAGCTGTTAAAAATAAAACAAGGATGCAGAAAATAAATGTTAGAACAGAAGGAGCGCCCTGACTTTCCACATAGCTAGAACAGCAGGGTGGAAGCCCTCAGAGCTGAACACAAGTATAATTCAGGGGCTGATTTATTTTTTTCCCAGACTTACAGAAATCATCACAAAACCTTTTGCAAATTGGTTTTTAAATCATCTCTGTTCTGGTCACCTCTTCTCTGGGTGCTGGCAGTGACTAGGAACAGCAATACAAAACTATATCTACTTGGCTTATTTCTCCTGTTTACCACCTAACTTTTGGTCAGGTTGAAAGCTGAGCTTACAGTGGGAGTCATATAATTGGGCTTGATCTGCAAGATCTCCAAGGCAGGGGTGCTGAGTTCATTGTAATTCAAGTGAAGTGGTTAAGGGCAACTAATGGTGAGCCATGTGTATTACAGCACATTTTGTGTGGCAGTAACCACGATATACTAAGACAATGATATACTAAGAGCACTGATTTCTTCAGCTAAAATTTGGTGATCCAAGCAGCTGCTGAGAAAGACCTATGCCATCTCTGTGCTAGAAATAGGGAAGGAGAGATGGGCAGTGGGAAGGGACATAAAAGACACATTTTCCCCATGACTGAAACAGCTACTCTTTGAGTATTCTAAACTAAATCACGTCTAGTGCTGGTTCCCAATAAAAATATAATAAAGCAGAAGATTGTCAGTAATTTGAATTAGGAATGATTGTCACTAATCGTCATAAAACCTGTCTCCTCAGAATAACAGCTATGAGCTGTAGCTACTGTTTGTTTTGCGTATCAGAAGTCACCTCCTCCTTGCAGGGAGGTGAACACCTTTCCAAGGCAAGCGACTGAAAACTATCCCATTCCAAACCAGGTTCTTAAAGGGTTTCATGCTGTTGGAGCAGATGGAAACCGCCACAGCCACCACTTCTGCTCTGTGGGACGGAGCACGTCGCTCTGCGCAGGGTCAACAGTGACTATCTCCTGTCACCACAACTTACACGTGACCAGGAGGGCGGATGCTGCAGCCCAGCAGGTGCAGGAGATTCCACGATGTGTTATCTCTGGCCACGGACTGTCCTGTTTCCAGGAACACTCTTCTGATGGAGGAGATAAGAGCCTGCCAGTAACTTCTCTTTGTGCAAAGGAGTTGGCAAGAATGTCTTCATCAAAATGGCTTTGTAGTCGCATTAGTTTCTAAGAAGTGCAGGAGGAAATATAGATACAGCTGCATGTTATATCCTATAATTTTTTTACATATTCTTTTTAGGTAATTGTGTCATATTTGCTGTGTAGATGGTAAATTAAATGTACTATGAAATGGTACCCAAATAAATCAGTCCTGCAAATGCAAATGAGCAAACGTGCTGAATCCACTAACACACTAGCAGGTGTGAAGGTGGTCACTTTTTCTCAGGGCTGAAAGGATCGGCTTCCAACATTTCAATTTGTGCATCCTTTGAATCTCTTTTTTAGGTGGATGGAGGAAGGGACCTTGTGGTGTATAGCATCCATTAGGAGCTCCCCATAATCCAACCCAAATCAGCACAGGTTTACAGCAACACCCATTCATACATTATTCTTAAAAATAAATGGAAATTACGTTTCATAAAATTTCTGCCCTGAATTTCAAGCTCCTGTTTCGTTGTCAGCTCTTGATCTCCGGCATCTTTCCGGGCTGGGACTGAATGAGCACTGGGGCTGAATGAGCACTGGGGCTTTACAAGCAGGCAAGAGTGGAAACTAAGGGATAAGGGCCTGATCCAAAGGCCATTTCTTCCAGTTAGCCTGGAACATTTGCATCAGGTCAAAGTAATTAAGGCCACTGTAACCACCCTTATCTGTTCAGGCAACACTGAGATCTCAAAGTATGTGCATTCAGCTCTTCACAACAGCAACCCTGTGTTAGCCCCCTCAGCCCCCCAGCAAACACTTTCACTACCTTTTTCGTTATCTGTAGCATCCTCTCGGGCACTGTTGGTGCAAGCAGGTGTAAAAGGATTAAAAAGAAGAAAGGGGACTTGTAAATGAGTTGAGATCTGAAAGTGAAGGGAAGGTCACTGCTTCTAGACCACACTCATGAGCTCCTTCTAGGCAGACCGTGTTTGGGATTTCTGGGATTCTGTGGTGAAGAAGGCAGGTGATGTGCTGGTGTATGAGGACAGGTAACTGTGGGCTTTCAGAAAGATCCTAACATTTGTATTGCAAATTGGTGTTTAGGCTGCTTCAACTCTATTGTTGGTTATCACTCCTTATGACTCTCTTTCTTAGATTTAACTGCTAATATTGCTTCTGGAACTCATCTCCAAGATTCAGTCTGTCCATTACTTTGGTCCCTGGTTGGAGAAGGAATTTGTTACCCCGTCTGTGCTCAACTCTAACACCACGAGTTGGGACATGTACTGCTTCTGCTGCTTTTGAAAGCAGAAGTTCCTCTTGGTTCTGGAAATATTGCACTCGTGGGCCTCGCAGAGGATTCTTGCTGTCATGTGGAGTAATGGGAAGGGTTGGAGAAGTAGGGCCTGAAAGGCACAACCATGAGACTTGCCAAAATGCCTGACTGCTGTGGAGGGGCAGGCTGGTCCAGGTGTCCAACGGCTGACCCGAGATCCCAAGTGCCCAGACATTCACCCCATCCCAGAGTGCTGGAGGAGACCCCACAGTAACTATGGTCTTGACAATCAGCTGGTTCTGCAGAGGACAGCCACAACCCCCAGGTCCTGCTCAGGCTGCACACAAAAGCTCTGTGTGTTGCAAGAGGACTACAGGCCACCCTTGGGAACCCTTGATGGACAGCTTCCCGGCCTCCTGGCCCCACAGCATCACCCTGAACTCATCATTGCTGCTGGGCCAGAGGCCTTCCACGAATTAGCCTGAAACACGAATGCTTGTTTTCCTCTTGCACTGAATAAGACACTGACAATATCTAATTGTCAATACCCCTCCCCTGAGAGACATGCAACAGCATTGCTCCTCAGGGCATATTCCCCACTGCTGTATTTAGAACAGTTTGAAAAGACCGAATTTTAAAAATAATAATCTTTCCAAAAGTTCCCCACCCACCAGCACTCCTCTGCCAAATTGCAGTTTGAAGAAAATGAAAAAGGACAAGTTTATACAGTCTGATGAACGGGTGTTCAAAATGGAACCTGAACATCATAATTCTTGCAAATGTTCGCTGATAATGGAAAGCAACGGTGGTGATGGCATCATGCCCAGAGAGGTCCTGTTGGCTAGATGTTTGTGGTATTGCTTCTTTTCACAGTTTATATTAAAGGTGAAAATGTCTGTTTTCTTCAGTGTTTAAAAGTACTTTTCTCCCTCTCCTCTTATGGATGGAACTTTTAAATAAAGCTCCACATCAGTTAGTCTACAATATTTAGAGCAAATCCTTTGCACAGTGTGTTTAGTTATGTTTCTATTCATGAGACTCCCCCTTTATGCAGATGTTATTTCTTAGAGTTGTTTGTGAACATTTGCCATCAAAGATCAAGTGGACTTTGCTGCTTCTATTTGTTTACTTGATTTATTTATCAAGTCGCTTTTGCTGCTGCTATTAAGCATTTGTAAAGGATCACCTAAATAGATGGCATCAGCTATGTTCCAAGATTTCATAGACAGTATTTGCCCTATGAATGCATAGTAAGACTAAAGTGAATGATAATATTAAATAATTGTATTGACTTACAAACTTCAGAAAATCAAAGGAGACTGAAATGTCGTGGTCGGACGTTTCTTTAAAATTTATATGAACAGAACTCTTTTGTGCTTTGTCTCAAATGCTCTGTAAGGGTCTTGAAATTAGGCAGAATAAGAGTGATGTTGAATTTGTAAGTACAGGCCTGGATGCTGGGCTGCACAATGCTCACACTGATCAAACGAAGTGATTTGAGCTTTGTAGCGTGGAATCAGCCGTCTCTGTGCGAACTCCACCGCGCTCAGGATACTCGTGCAGCTCAGGCCCAGGCAGTCATTTCTGAAGTTGTAGGGTACGTTTGAGTCACTATGATTTGACATCAAGTATTTTGCCTAATCTCATCATGGCTTAAACCATAATTGTAATGAATTCCGACATCATTGAATCCTCTGCATCATCAGTGATATCTATGTAATTAAAGGCAGAATTTAATCTTTAGATTTTATAAGGCTGTAACAATTACCTTTTACCCACATGAAATACTGCATCAGGCAAATCTATAATTAGTTAAAACTAAAACAAAGTGCATTTCTATTATTAACAATATTGCATAAAATCTCAGTGCCACAGCTAAAAAATCGAAGCCAAGTAACAGTTCAGGGACAGTTGCTGCTATAAAACTTTTGACCTTAGTTACCGAATGTACATGCAAACAAATAAACTAACCAGACAGAGATAGTCCCCTAGGAGCAATCATGATTTCCAAAATTCTGGGGGCTTTAAGCCAACCTGTAGAGTTGATGGAATAAAAAGTTTGCCTGTGTGTGCCAGCTCATTAATCAGTGACCTTTTTCACTAGCAGAAAGGCTGGCTTGCACATTTACACAAGGTATCCATTTTTGCATCCTCTCCTGTAGATATTGCTGACTTAAAGGCTGCAGGAGTCAGGAAGTGTTTCGTTGAGACATCATGGACAGCACTGTGTCTCTTGCAGTGACAGCTCTGTGGAAGGCTCTAATTCCATTGTGCCAGTTGTATTCTTTAAATACATCTGTCCTCTTGGACAGCTATGGCTTCATGGTGGCTTAAAATAGTGCTATGCTATATTGTCAAATCTAGGATCCCTTGGATAACTGGTTCAAAATGGTTTTCTTCTGCAATGTTAGAGGTCTTTGGTGATGAACATTGTTTGTTCCGTGGGTATCAGGTGTGCCAAGTGAGTTCTCAATATTCCTGTGTTGATTCTTCTGCTTATTGTTAGCCTCTGGCCTTTGCACATCTCACTCGGAATCCTGAGGATTAGGAATCACTCAAATCCTTGATAAGGATTTGTATTTGTCTCCATCTTCTTGTGGTCAGCTGCAATCATGCTCCACTGATCAGCAGAAGTGGTCATTATTGAACCTTACATGTGTTTTTCATCTTCAGCATAAATTTTTCTTTGACAACATGCTCAGCCCCAAAGCCCTTGAAGTCCCCTTTGAAACACATATTAAAGGCTTCAACTTATTTTCCTCCTTTAATGTACTGGGGACTGCACTGGTACATACTAGGGATGGCTCAGGGTAGAGCTTTAAAAAGTGACAACTCCTTCTTGGTGTCTGTGTCCTTGAGGACAGATAGGATATGTTAAGCTTGTTCTCCAGAGATTTGTTCCCAGCTGGCATTGCCTACCAACTGTGAAATCTTTGTATCTCTTAGCCTGAGACCCCTAAGCTGAGGGAGAATCATAAATATGAACCTCAGTGTCTCGCCATGTTCATCCTAAATATGAACCATAGTTACCTATGTGGTGCAGCTGAAATCAGAGCTGTGATGTCTCAGATGTCCCTCTTCAGAGTATGTGTTTGAATAGCTGTTTAATGTGCTGATCTTATCCATTTCAACACACACCTACCCAGAGAATATTGCAATTTGCTTACATAAGTAGACAAAATGTTGCCATTTAAAACTCATTCACGTTGCTAAAGCATGAAGAGAGTGACTCCTTCACGCAGGTTTTGGTTCAGATGCTGGGTCATTGTGAGGCACAGGCAGTAACACACACAAGTGAATTCCAGGAAACCAGCTCAGCAAAAAACATATTTAGAAGTTTACAGGTCTCCCCACATTCAGGTACATGGAGAATGGTCTGAGGGTGCCCAGTGGGAGGCTGCCTCTGGCTCTAGACATGAATCACTCAGAGTGGAGTGACCTGAATCATCTCAGCAGTGAGATATGGGGTGGCTGTGGATACCTGCTGTGAGCCACAGAAAGGCACAGTAACCCCAAGCAAGGTGCCAGCAGCAGAGAGGTAACACAACAGAAGAAAGCATACTACAACCTTTTTTTTTTTTATGTACAAGGGCAAATCCTATTGCTCCCTTTGCCCAATGTTTGGGATGAGAAAGCTTGGGAAAATAGGCCCACATCCTTTCAGCTAGTTACCAACTCCTGTAGGCAAAGCTGGAGGAACAGTCTTTGTTCTGAAGTGAGAGCAAAGGGACGTTTTCTGCCCTTTACCCAATAATGTTTATTTCCTGAGTGCTAATCTGCATTAAACCTTTTCACAAGCTATTTTTGAAGCCAGTCACCTCACCAAGATTGGATACAGGAGTCCTGTGAACTAGGCTTTGAAACAGTACATTGCTATAACAAAAGGTTAAAGTATTACTCATAAAAATGACCCTTTGCCTTCAGAAAA